ACCATGCCCAGCTAAATTTTGTATTTTTAGTGGAGACGGGGTTTCACCATGTTGGCCAGGATGATCTCGGTCTCTTGACCTTGTGATCTGTCCACTTCGGCCTCCCAGAGTGTTGGGATTATAGGCATGAGCCACTGCGCAGGACAGTGACTTTCTGTTGTCTCTGAAGTATGGATGAATTTACAACATTCCTGAGTTCTCTGAAGGTCTATTTTTGGGGACAAAAATTATAGAACTGTGTCCTTTAGATAATAAGATTTAATCTACAATTCTGGAGAAAATGTTCAAAAAATTTTCATGTGAAGGGCAATGCTGAAAAACAGGTGAATATTAAAGCTTTCTTAAAGCACTTTAGGAGGCCAAGGCAGGCGGATGACTTGAGGCCAGGAGTTTAAGACCAGCCTGGCCAACATGGCGAAACCCCATGTTGAAACTCAGCCTAGGCTGAGTCTTAAACTTCTGGCCTCAAGTGATCCTCCCACCTTAGCCTCCCAAAGTGCTGGGATTTTAGGCATGAGCCCCCTCTCCTGTCCAAAAGCTGTTTTTGAAGAGAGATTATAAAATAATTCTTTATTATAGGGCCCTATTTCTCAAAACTTCACCATTATCTGAGAGTTGGTTAGAAATGCAGAGTATCAGTTCCCTCCTCAGACCTACTAATTTAGACTCTCCATTTAAACAAGAGTCCCAAGTGATTTCATATGCACAATAAAGTTTGAGAAACACCTCACCAGTAAGTAAAAATACAAAAATTAGCCAGGCATGGTGGCACATGCCTGTAATCCCAGCTACCTGGGAGACTGAGGCATGAGAATAGCTTGAATCTGGGAGGCAGAGGTTGCAGTGAGCCAAGATCATACCACTGCACTCCAGTCTGGGTGATGGAATGAGACTCTAGTGTCACAAAAAAAAAAAAAAGATTGAATTATCTGGATGCAGTGGCTCACGCCTGTAATTGCAACACTTTGGGAGACTGATGCAGGAGGATTGCTTGATCCCAGGAATTTGAGACCAGAGTGGACAGCATAGCGAAAATCCGTGTCCACTTAAAAAAAATTTTTTTTAATTAAAAAAAGTTGTTTTTTTTTTTTTAGATGGAGTTTCACTCTTGTTGCCCAGGCTGGAGTGCAATGGCGCGATCTCGGCTCACCGCAACCTCCACCTCCTGGGTTCAGGCAATTCTCCTGCCTCAACCTCCTCAGTAGCTGGGATTACAGGCACGCGCCACCATGCCCAGCTAATGTTTTGTATTTTTAGTAGAGACGGGGTTTCACCATGTTGACCAGGATGGTCTCGATCTCTTGACCTCATGATCCACCCGCCTCGGCCTCCCAAAGTGCTGGGATTACAGGCTTGAGCCACCGTGCCCGGCCTAAAAAAAGTTTTAAGTCATTTGTCAAAAGGATAGTCTTTTTGTAGTTGTTGCTATTTTTACTCATTAACTTGAAATAGCATAGTTAAAAGAAGTCTATTTTTAGTATTAACCTTAGATTTTCTTTTTACTTGCTGTCAACATTCGTACAACAAATTAGCTTTTGTCAGGAAGCTTTAAGAATAAGATGACAGTGATTATATCATTATAATGTTGTTTGAAGTCAAAGCTCTTCCAGAGCATGTTACTTTAGTTGCTATGTCTTTCCCACGTACATAAATTGAAGGTTTTCTAGTACAAGAGAAAGAAACGGGCAAGGATTTCTGGAGTTGAGTTGTATTTAAATTTGGGGCTTATAGGTTTAAATTTCATCATATAAAACTGGCTCTTGACAGCCCATTGTGGGAGCGGGGTCTGGCTGGCTCATGGGGTAGGCAGGTTGACGGAAGTGGGAAGCACCAAAAAGAAAACCAAAGCAACTGGTTCTTCATAAAGTACACATAAAACTGCATTCCATTTTATGAATATGGGATTGTATTTGTTAGAGAGGACCACTGAGCCATTTAATTCTTCCATTAACTTTTAGGGTAGGCTGTGTTTCAGTGAAAGTTCTCCAGTTCTCACATACCTTTGTATAAACAGTTTAATTAAAAAAAAAATGACTGGGTTCAATGGCTCATGCCTATAATCCCAGCGCTTTGGGAGGCCAAGACAGGCGGATCACCTGAGGTCAGGAGTTCGAAACCAGCCTAACCAATGTAGAGAAACCCCATCTCTACTAAAAATACAAAATTAGCCAAGCGTAGTGGCACATGCCTGTAATCCCAGCTACTCAGAAGGTGAAGGCAGGAGAATCACTTGAAACCCAGGAGGTGGAGGTTGCAGAAAATACCTAAACTTAGAATTTGTTCTTACATCTCTTTTATTTTTCTTGCATTATAAACATTTCTGACCATGATACTGAGTCTAAGGAGTTGTACTTCTTGATAACTAGGTAAGTCTTATCCCTCCTGCTGAGAATAATTAAGAAAAAAAGTGACAAAATAGATAAAATATCTATTTAAAGACATCAAGAGCTACAAATAACAAATGGAAAAATTAGGATTCCAAGATCTGAGAGAAGAGTTGGAGCTGCTTTTCCCTATTGAATATGTGTTCAATTCCAGAAAAGGCTGCAGAGAAGCTAAATGGAGCTTTCAGTAGACACTGAGGGCCCACAAAGAGGAGTAATGATAAACCCCCCTCCCAATCTGTGGATTGAAGTACTAACATCAGCCAGAGCCTCACAGTTTTTGTAATTTTTTATATAAAAATAGTAAAAAGTATCCAGATGTAGTGGCTCATGCCTATAATATTAGCACTTTGGGAGACTGAGGCAGGATGATTGCTTGAGTCCAGAGTTCAAGATCAGCCTGGGCAATATAGTGAGACCTTGTCTTTTGAAAAAATAAAAATATTAACCAAGTGTGATGGCATGTGCCTGTTGTCACAGCTACTCAAGAAGGTGAGATGGGAGGATTGCTTGAGCCCAGGAGTTCAAGGCTGCAGTAAGCTGTGATCATGCCACTGTATTGCAGCCTGGGCAACAGAGTGAGAAGCTGAGACTACAAGCGAGCACCACCACACCCAGCTAATTTTGTTTATTCTTTGTAGAGACAGGATTTTGCCTTGTTGTCTAGGCTGGTTTCAAATTCCTGAGCTTCCAGACTCCCAAAGTGCTGGAATTACAAGGAATGAGCCACTGTACCCTACCTAGGCTGTGTCTTAAACTTCTGGCCTCAAGTCATCCTCCTACCTTAGCCTCCCAAAGTGCTGGGATTATAGGCATGAACCACCTCACCTGTCCAAAAGCTGTTTTTGAAGAGAGATTACAAAATAATTCTTTATTATAGGGCCCTATTTCTCAAAACTTCACCATTATCTGAGAGTTGGTTAGAAATGCAGAGTATCAGTTCCCTCCTCAGACCTACTAATTTAGAATCTCCATTTAAACAAGATTCCCAAGTGATTTCATATGTGCAATAAAGTTTGAGAAACACTTCACCTGTAAGTAATACTGTACTGTTTTGAAATTAACAGTAATTTATGATACTGCAGCTGCTATGTAAGGTTGGGAAAGCTGAGTCTTTCCTGAGTAATCCACAACCTATATTAATGCCTGATAAATAATATTTTAAAGGCTAGGAAATAATAGATTTATATTAAACTATTTATGTCTAAAGTATTTTGAAAGTAAGTGTACTAATGTCTGCAGTTTACTTGAAATACATAGAAAGAGATGGATTGATTGTTTAGTGGTATGAATAGATAGAAAGATGTGATTAAGCCGGAAGTGGTGACTCATGCCAGTAATCCCAGCACTTTGGAGGCTGAGGCAGGTGGATCACTTGAGGCCAAGAGTTTGTGTCTAGCCTGGCCAACATGGTAAAACACCCTCTCTACCAAAAATAGAAAAAAAATTTAGCTGAGCATGGTGGCACGCACCTGGAATCCCAGCTACTTGGGAGGCTGAGGCAGGAGAAACGCTTGAGCCTGGAAAGCAGAGGTTGCAGTGAACCAAGATGATGCTACTGCACTCTAGCCTGGGCAACAAAATGAGACCCCATCTCAAAAAATAAACAAAAAACGATGTGATTAGACAAAAACAGTAAAATAGCGTTGAATCTACTTGGTTGAGTATGTCAGTGTTAAGTGTAAAATTCTTTAAACTTCTCTTGAAATTCTTCCTAATTTTAGGGACAATGGGGGAACTATTAAAAAACTAGATAGATATCATAAGTAAGCTACCAGACTATCACATTCCTCAAGGGTTCCAGAGAGCCGAGCTGTTACTATAATTGTCTATGTATTTATATATCCTGTGCTTTGTTTTATAAATGTTTATGGTTTTTTTCTTGTTTTTAGGGGTTTTGTTTTGTTTTTTTGAGATAGAGTCTCAACTTGTCACCCAGGCTGGAGTGCAGTGGCATGATCTTGGCTCACTGCAATCTCCACCTCCAGAGTTCAAGAGATTCTCATGCCTCAGCCTCCCCTGAGTAGCCAGAATCACAGATGCAAACCACTACGCTCAGCTAATTTTTGTATTTTTAGTAGAGATGGGGTTTTGCCATGTTGGCCAGGCTGGCCTCAAGTGATCTGCCTGCCTCAGCCTCCCAAATTGCTGGGATTACAAGCATGAGCCACCACGTCTGGCTTTATAAATGTATTAATACTTTCCACTTAGGCAAGAAAAAGTGGCTAATATTTTTTGAGTGTGCCTTTGTGCTGGGCATTTATCTCATGTATTCTTCATAACACTAATGAGTTAGGTATCATCAGTTCGTATATTTGTATAATTTATTAAGCTTAGGAGATATTTGAACCTGGGGTCTGACTGAAGAGCTGATGGCTACCACATTGTGCAATTCCAGACACCAACATTAACTTAATTATTATTGTTGGTGCAGTGAAGTAGCATTCAGTTGAGATACATAGTTCCCCTGGGATTATGCATGAAGAGTGGCCTTAACCACATGCTTATACACCTGCCTCATTTGTCTCTTAAACTCTTAAATGAAAATGTAAATTATTTTTCTGATGTACATTTTTATTTGTTCCATGATTTTCTCTTGTGTGTTTCATTTTTAAGATTCTTGGATCTCCCAGTCAGCTTCATTTCCCCGTAATCAGAAACAGCCAGGAGTGGATTCTTTATCACCAGTGGCCTTACTTCCTAAGCAGAATTTCCAGCCTACAGCCCAACAGCAACTTACTAAACCAGCTAAAATCACTTGTGCAAATTGCAAAAAGCCTTTACAGAAGGGCCAGACAGCTTATCAACGAAAAGGATCAGCTCACCTCTTTTGTTCTACCACGTGCCTGTCTTCCTTCTCTCATAAACGTACTCAAAACACACGAAGTGTAATATGTAAAAAGTAAGCAGTACCTTTCACCATTTCTCCATATAGTTGAATACTAGTGGTATAAATAAAAGTACACTTAATGTAATTGCAGAGCTGGATAGATATATCAGTAGAATTGTTGCAGGAGTGTCTTTAAGTTTATTGAGCTTGAGCTCCTAGAATATGTCTAAGCTATGGACTCGTTTGTCCTATATGTATTCTTGGCAGAAAAATGGAACTTAAGTATGGAAGTTAGTTGCCCTCTCCCTGCCACTACATTTGCCTCCCCTTCTTCCCCATCTTACATCTTAGTTCTATAAATTTATTACCAGCATTTTTATTTGTTTTTTTTTGAGACTGAGTCTCACTCTGTTGCTCAGGCTAGAGTGCAGTGGCGCGATCTCCGCTCACTACAACCTCTGCCTCCCAGGTTCAAGTGATTCTCCTGCCTCAATCTCCTGAGTAGCTGGGATTGCAGGCTCCTGCCACCACACCCGGCTAATTTTTTGTATTTTTAGTAGAGATGGGGTTTCATCATGTTGGCCAGGCTGCTCTCGAACTCCCGACCTCAAGTGATATGCCCACCTTGGCCTCCCAAAGTGCTGGGATTACAGGTGTGATCCACTGTGCC